TGGCTGATTGCTACCTATGCCCACAGGTGTGCAGGTAACCCTAGCAATGGATCTCCAACAGCTTGTTGTCCAGTTCTACACCAGTCTGGTAATGATCCATTAATGTGAGTCAGGTGTGCTGCAGTACGGACACGTCTAGAACCTGCAGGACAGAAGCTCAGGAGGANCACACACACACACACACAACATACACATGCAGCATAAATCTAAATTGGCTACAGCAGTGCCAACACAGTCCTCCCACAACCCCACAAACATCAGCTGCCTGGACAGATGCTGCAGTCGCAGGCTGTTTGCTCCTGGACTTTAGTTTAGACCAGGGGCGTCCAGTCCTGGTCCTCAAGGGCCACAGTCCTGCATGTTTTAGATGTTTCCAACACACCTGATTGAAACGATCAGCTCATCATCAAGCTCTGCAGAAGCCTGATAACGATCCTGATCATCTGAATCAGGTGTGTTGGAAGAAGGAAACATCTACAACATGAAGGACTGTGGCCCTCCAGGACCAGGACTGGACACCCCTGGTCTAGACCAACACAGAGGCTTTAGCTTCTATTATGAAAACTGTTCACCAAGACATGTTTCTGGAAACATCTGAAATGAGCCATTTAATTGCTGAATCCATCTTTATTTTAGATTGAAAATGGTTTGTTGTTCAGAGGCCCTGAGTGGTGGCTGGACATGTGTGAAGCCTCCACTGCTCTGAACATACACCATACGGACCCTTAGCCAGCCTATCCTGTGGTACGGACTGGGCCGGCTGCCGTTACTATCATTCTGGTATGGGGGGAAACGCTCTGGTGTCTTTGTGTTTCTTGAAATCAATCACTGTTGTCTTCAGTGGACAGAAGGGCTTCGGCTTTCTCTCAAAACAGTGACAAGTCCAATTGTTTTGGTGGAACATCTACTCACAGGTGAACGCTGTCATTAGGGTAAATAATCGATTGCAAAAAAAACTAAATAATTAAAATGAAAAATAGCACAGTTGCCTCACTGCATGATCTAAACCAGGGATCTCCAGCTCCGGTCCTCCTGAGCTACTGTCCTGCAGCACACCTGACTCACATTAATGGATCTCCAACAGCTTGTTGTCAAGTTCTACACCAGTCTGGTAATGATCCATTAATGTGAGTCAGGTGTGCTGCAGTACGGACACGTCTAGAACCTGCAGGACAGAAGCTCAGGAGGACCGGAGCTGGAAGTCCTTGATCTAAATCTTCTGTCTGTGGCAGGTTGTTTGCTTGTTGTGGTTTCCTGTAATGAAGTGGATTCAGAAAAGTGCAGCGATACAACAAGGCTGAGTGAATTAGTGCCGACTGGCTGCATCAGTCCGACCACCGTTACAATGACCAAGACTAGAGTTTAAAAGAAAATATATGGAAATAACTAGAAACAGGCTCATCTGGCTAAAACTGTGATCGTTTTAAGACGAGCTGATGTATAATCGGATCGAGTTCTGTTCACGTCTTCATGCAGAAAACGAACAACGTAATTACAGAGAAGTCTTATCTAAAAACACCACTTAGCTTCAAATCAAACACGAGCAATTCATCACCTAGAAAGCTAACGTTTGAACAGTGAGGAAGCCAGAAGAGCCACGAGGGAGTTAAACACAGGAGAGCAGAGCCTTTGTCCGGTCGTCAATGAGCAGAGTGATGGAGAGCAGGATCACAGCGTCCTGCCTGGTGATGCATCGGCCAGACTAGCTATTGATTGGCTCTGCCCATTTGCTTTGATACATCATGTCATCTTTGTTTAGAGAGCGGGATCCAGGACTCGAGCACTTCCACCGAAAGCTTGCAGAATAAAAGCCCCTTGCCGGGGTCGTACACGCCGTCTGAGCGATGATGGATCAGGTCATCTGTCTGGTCCTGGGGCCTGACTGGGAAGCGTCATCTTCATCAGACAAAGCCTGACAGGATGTCCATCATCACACAGCCATGCCGATGGGCCCGGTCCCTGATGGAGCAACGCCCGCTTACACCAACGCATCGGCAGCAACTCCATCATTTTCAATCATTTAGAGCGGAGCACAAATTGAAGCTCAGTGGTTGACCACGATCATCTGAAGCCTACAGGCTCCACATGCTGTTCATACACGAGCTCATTCTCTTTTTACTGTTGGAGTCCACATGCTGAGAGTCGTGTACCGTCATGGATTAAGGACAAAAACCCTACATCTCACACAGAATGGAGGCTGTTGGGTGATCAGCAGAAGACTCCTACGCTGGATGGTCAATACAGTCCCATCGGTGGTCATTAACATCTCCTGAAACCTTTAGTGAAAAAGAAAAAACCAAGTTGCTGTGTTGTGCAGACAGGGTTACACCATCATGTGTGACAGTTAGGACTACAAACATGGCTGGATGTGTATGGAAATTAGATTTCAGCCTTCAAGTGCTAAACCAGACAAGCTCACCTGACAGTCAGGTGACTCCATGAAAAGTCATTCAGTGCCACCACCTGACACAGAATCAGCGTTTGGTTTCTTTGTTTTTCTATAATGACTTCAGCATCGGGCTAAATGGTGGTTAGCACCGTGGCCTCACAGCTAGAAGGTCGCCGGTTGGCGTCCCGGTGAGGACACCCGGGATCTTCCTGCGTGGAGTCTCCATGTTCTCCCCGTGCAGCGTGGGTTCTCTCCGGGTTCTCCGGCTTCCTCCCACAGTCCAGAAACATGCTGAGGTTAATTGTGGTTCCTTCAATAAACATGAGAATTATTGTGGTGACTGTTTCATTATCATCAGTTTCTCTGTTTAGTTTATTTCAAGTACATATACAAGACAATCTGCCAGGAAAAATAGTCCTCATGTCATTAAACCTCAGTTTCAGCCTGAAAACATGGAAACAACTTACAATAAACAGACCCCTATGCAAACCATCGTTGTGCTGCTGTGAACGCTGCACTTCTACTTCTGCTGGTGTTCACCAAAGACTGTATTTAGTCAGAGATATGGAGATTTATAAAGTGCTGTGAAAAACTAGTCCTCTTCCTGATGTCCTCGACTTTTACATTAAACGTTCCAGATCATCAAAGTAACGTTTGTATGTATTCAGTAATGGACGGAGATAACCTGCAGCTTTTAAAGGAGGATTTATTGTAAACCCATATCCCCCTGTGACAAACTAATGTCCCCCTAAACCTACTAACTGGATGGACCACCGCTGGCAGCAGCAGGTAAACGTCTGCAGTAGCTTGTGATCAGTCTTTACGTCACCGTGGCCACTCAGGATGGTTTTACATCAGAGGGTTTTCCAGCATGAGCTGCCCCTCTAAGGTCTATCCACAGCATCTCAGCTGAACTCAAGTCCAGACTTTGACTCGGCCACTCCAGAACCTTCCCTTCCTGAGCCATCCAGAGGTGGACCTGCTTGTGTGCTTTGGGTCGTTGTCCTGCTGCACTTGAGCTTCAGGTCCTGAGCTGATGGTGGATGTTCTCCAGGAGGATGTTCTGATAGAGAGCAGAATTCATGTCTCCATCAGTCATGACGAGTCGTCCAGGTCCTCCAACCATCCACTACCTCCACCATGGTCCACTGCTGGTATCATGGTCTTCTGGTGGAATGCAGTACCAGCTTTACACCAGATCTAACTGGACCCATGGCTTCCAGAAAGTTCCACCTTGGACTCATCAGTCTACAGGTTGTTGTCCCAAAAGTCTTCAGACTCTTTTTTTTTTTGTTTGTTTTTTTTTTGTAAATGCCAGATGAGCCTTTATGTGCTTTTGGGTCAGGACTGGTTTGGATGCCATTGCTGCCCAGAGTCCTCCTGATTGTGGAACCATGTCCACTGACCTTCACTGAGGCCAGTGAGGCCTGCAGTTCTGTTGATGTTCATCTGGGTTCCTTTGTGACCTCCTGGATGAGATGTGGATGTGATCTTGGGGTCATTCTGGTCAGCTGGCCACTCCTGGGAAGGTCCACCACTGGTCCATGTCTCTCCATCAGTGGATGATGTCTCTCACTGTGGTTCTCTGGAGTCCCAGAACCTCAGTGATGGCTTTGTAAGAGCTCTTGAGTTCTATACTTGAGAGATTTGTCACTAAAAGCAGCTGCTGCTGGAAACCAGACTGATGGGAGTGTTGAAGCACAACAGTTCACATGTGAGCTGTGAACGGTGACAATAAGAAGACAGACGGTAAAATATTTCTTAGAAGTGGGTGAAGATTCTCTGAGGGTTCAACACCTTTCACATAAAAGCTTTAAAATCAACCGCTATAGCATCTTACGTGGACCTCCAGCCAGCTCCGATGAACTTGGATGAAAAGCTGCAGACAGTCAGAACTCTGCTTTATTAACTTTACCTTCTACACAGAACTGCTCTGTTAGTGGATTTCTAAGAAAGCACTGGGACCTTCTGAGTATGAGAGGTCTTTAAAACCTTAAGCTGCAGCATGGACCAGGCCTCTGGATGGGTAAGAGCATTAATGAAGTAAAAAAATGATTATCAGCAACAATAGGAGGAGAAATCAGACAGATCGCTCTAATTGACTCAAAGTGTTTTTGTCCAGCTGTAGGAGTTAATGTTGGTGAAATCATTTCCATTTTACAGACCAACGCTGTGTCTTTATAGTAATTCATTAGTGATGTTTGTACCTTCAGCAGCTTTCCTCTGAGATGTTCTGCAGCTGGCACGAGTGTAAAAAGTGTTGAAGTGACAACTGAGGCCATTTATGGAATTGATCAAGGTGTGAAAGCAAGTAGATAGATCAGAGAGACTGTCAGGAGAGCAAAGGGCTTCAGAGACTGATTAAAAAAATAGCCGACTACCAGAGGAGAGGAGAGCGAGACATCAGAGGAATAGCCTGTGTCAGTTGGCAGGGTGGGAAACGCATCAAGAAAACGCACTTCTCGTCCTGTGAATTAGTCCAATCACAGGCCTCAATCTGCCTTATTACAGCCTGTTTTCAAGTGGCTCCAAAATGGATTTTGGCTTCCTTCCCACCCTGGGACTGAAGCCGGTTTCAGAGTGAGAGGAGTAGAAAGACAGAGGAGGTGAATGCAGAGCTACAGAAGAGTTTTATTAGGCATGCTACAGAGGTAATGCAGAATACACCAGAGAGACCATGAGAGGGAAAACTCACAAAGCAGGAAACCAAGTTGCACGTCCCCTTGTTAGAAAATGATTCATTCTTTAATTGCGCCTCTTTAGAATAATACCAAATCCTTACATTTTGAGCTGTATAAAATTGGACTTGGAAGAAAAAAATATAGTGAACTTATTTCTGAGCAAACGCCTCCAGGCAGGAGGTCTCGTTGGGTTTTAAAAAACAAGAGAGGAACAACTCAACACTCACAATTAGAGGCATTCCCCCTGAAATGCAACCACTCAGTGTTATTAAATGCTATTTGTTTTGTTGTTGAAATGAATTAAAGGAACACTAAAGGCACAGAAACTTTGGTCCAACTGAGTAGCCCTCTCAAGTAAACTGTCACACGACCATGAAATCACAGTGGACTCATCTTGGAACTGCTTCCACAGCATGCAACACATTCTCATGTGAGATCCTATCATCACTATGCATGCTTAAAAAAAAACAAAAAAACATCGTCACCGACAACTGCACCTCACTGCTATGGAGAAAGCATAGAAGGCTTCAAAACACAGATAAAGAAATACTCAGCCACAAGCCACATAGTGATAGTTTAACTTATGCATGGATTGTAAAGTCAGAACTGAGGGAGAACCGGCGTTCGCTCCCCGTGGAATCATGGAGTTCAAGTGAAACTGGCTGCCACAGACTGCTGTAAAGACTCGCACATGTCGCCTCAGGAACAGTCTGCTCTCCTGCTGCTCAACTCAAAAGAAAGATGTTATGAATCTAAAACTGTGGAACAAAAGAAAACAAAGCTGCGCCTGGTTGGCGGCACAGCTTCACAACCGTAGTCATGTCTGGATGATGACAAAACAGCTCTCACTCATCCCCTAAAAATATCCACCACCGATGTGCCTCATTAGGAGGGTAATTAATGAACATGTCCAGCTGCAGAAACAGTTGATATTGTCGAGTAAGGCACAGGAGTACTATATCTTTTCAATGAAATCAGAAGTTAAACATTGATCTACATCCAGCTATCGTACAGGGGGACAATCAGCCACGTCAAAATTCTGCCTGACGCAAAAACACAGAGGTCCAGTTAAGAACAGCCGACCGGATCCACTTTGATCGCTTCACGGAACAACTCAAAGTCTCTCTCAAGGAATGACAGGATCAACAAAACCCAAACATCACTGCTCCCCCCCGTGTCCGCCCGGTCCTCTACACAGTAACCCGTGGTACTGCTAACGAGTCTGTGGGTCACGTTCTTAAATGGTGGACTTGGAGAAGGACACTCTCAGGTGCTGGTTGCCTCCCATGTTGTAGTTGTGAAGGTCAATCAAGGCCTGTATCGCCTCCTCCACTGTGGACATCTGGATCAGAGCCATTTTACGATCCCTGGAAAACATGAGACGGTGGTTAACGCCGCAGATTGGCCAGAAGAATACCTTCAACACAAACAGTAGCCAGGTCCCGTTCAGTGGGAACATGCCAGGACAGGACAGGTCTACGTACTGGAAAAACTTGAACGCTTTCACGGTGCCTCCAGCGTTGGAGAAAAGCAGCCGCAGGTCGTCCTCCGTCACGTCTTGTCTGTTAAAGGGGAGGACATAGAAGCAGATGTGTGACATCACGGTTCAGGGTTTGATGAGCTACTGGAACTTTTGCTAAATATGTAAAATCTTAACTCAACCACTAAGGAACTGGCCAAATTCATCCCAAAGTTCCAAAAGCTTCTATTCTTTGCGCTACATTTTCTGTAGCTTTCATGATCTTAACTGGTCCTGAGCTCCCCGGCCCGGTACCTACGGGATGTTGGAGAGGTGAAGTGTGGCAGAAGGTGGGAAGATGTTCTGGAAGTTCTTGGAACCAGGCTTCTTGAAGCGATGAAGCGGGGAGTTGGCGTAGTCCTTGGTCAGGCCCTGGTCGTCCAGGCCGTCGCGGGGCAGCGCCACCGTCTGGTGCTTGGACAGTGTCACTCGGATGATCTTGCCGTACATCTTCTGGCCGTTCAGGTGGCTCATTGCTTTGGTCAGGAGGAGAAAAACACAGGTCAGCGAGGCATATGATAATATGTATTAATAACAGGACTGGACAGAAGTTCTCTGTGCCATAAACAGAAAGTTTCCACGCTTCCGTTTATCATAATAATTCATCTGCTCATCATAACATCAGAAAGAAGCAGTGATGTTGTGACTACGACCAGGACGGACAGCAGGCAGATGCTGATGCAGGAGCTGTCTAGTATCAGTGTGTCAATCAATCAGGTAGTGCTGCAGGATATACTGAGGCTAGATCGCAACACCCTGACGTTAAACACTACGCTCAGCCCACGTTCACACAGAGCCGGTATTCACAACAGATCTACGTTTTCTAAAAAAACATCATTCGCACCAGATCGTTTTCAAAAAAGTATTTGTTCACACAGACCAGCATGAACACGTCGTAAAGAGCTGCTGTGAGCTGCCAGACCTACAGGGGGCAGTGTAACGAGAAGCATAAAGACATGCTAGCCAATCAGAATCCTGGAGAAAACACCATAACGAATGGCACGAATTACTTCCTGTTACTTCATCGATAATGGTGTGAGGGTGGTTTGTTTGGACCAACAGAGAAGCTCCTCCATAACAGAACATTTCTGCATGTGAATGCAAACAACCGAAAAAACCAGCACCGCTTCAACAGCGTCCATTTCTACCACAGCAGCCACACTGTAAACATGGTCGCACACACGTGACGCTTTAGTCGCAAACTGTGACGTCAGACTCCGCCTCCTCCCGTCTACATGCAAACAAACAGAGTTTTTCCAGATCTCCACTGTGGTAGGAGTTTTCAGATCTGATGGTTTTCGGTGACTCATAGCTTCGTTTACGTGAGAACCAAAGGCCCGTTGAAGTATCACCGTAGTTGCTGCGTGTAAACAGGCCTAAATCATGTGTTCCTAGCGTCGATAGTTTAACTGATTAGCAGTGTTTGCTAACAGCAGCCTTTCTGATTAACATCAGCGTGTAACAGCAGTACGTTGTATGTTGTGCAGATCTGCAGACAAAGTGTGCGTGAAAACTGTTTTTTTCTCTCCACAACCTTTCAGCGCCCCAAAGCATGATTTTAATCCAAGCGCTGATGCTGACTGTCCACAGTTTGTTGGACAGATAAGTCAGAAATGTGGATTTCCATTCCCATCCACAAAACATGTCTTGTCGTGACACAGACCATGGAGTCGATGTGGTAAAGTAAGTGAAGCATCTCACTGACAGACACGTGGACTCGAGCGAGCGTTACTGACTGTGACAGATCATATCAGTCACTGTTGTTCTAACAAGATACAGAGTTTGACGAGATAATCAACAACGATAACTGTTGAACTTGGCTTTCTCCAATCAGCTGACTGACCAATATGGAAATCATCTAGCTGCGAGACGACGGTGCTAACCACCGAGCCACCTGCAGCCCTATGTCGTACATTTGTTGTAAAAATGGAAATCCTGACATCAAAACTCAGGATAACATAAAGTGAAACACAAACCTTTCCCTTCGTTTCTACGCATGTTAAATATGTATAACTAAAAGAGAACTTTCTGAGGTCCATCCAGTGTTAGTAGGATGTGACGCGCTGCTGAACAACACTGAATGGTGCTACAGCTACATGCGAGCATCGCTACATGCTAGCATCGCTACACTACAACACAGACACAGCTCAACTATTATCTGCATCTGTTAATAGCCACAGGAAAACATTTAGACAGCAGTTATTACAATATAAGGATGTAAACACAGGTATGGTGAAGAAAGAGACCAAAAGTCAGAATCAAAGTCGGTGCTAGAACACACTTCAATAAAGAGTAAAACATACTCCATACAAATACTGTCACAAGACTAAATGACTGTCTGTCCTGAAGAAGCTCTCCAGAACTCATTTCCAGCACATCCTTTCTGTCCAACTGTTTTTGACAAAGTCAGAGAGAACGTTCCTCACTTCACCTTAACTACAGCATCCAGCTGGAGCTGTGACCATCTGTGACTGTCGGTTTACTCACGTTATGAAACTCTCCAACAGCACACGTCCACACTGGCTGTACTGTAAAATGTACAGCACTTATTGGACAAGTGATGTTCTTCCTTCAGAGCTAGCATAGACTAGCTCGTCCAAAGACGTGGTGACTTGACAACATTGACAGAGTTTAACATGAGTCAGTGAAACGAAGCATCGGGTTCATTTGCATGAAATTAATGTTAGATTCTCTTCAAATGTTCCTGTCATACAGATAGCTCAATGAATGAGATCCATTCATTTATTTCACAAGTGATGAGGCTGTCGTGAAATTAATTATAGTTAATTAGCTTACAGGAGGCCATGAAAAGATATGCCGACAGAAAACATGACTTGATGTCTTTATCTCACAATGCAGGTAAAGGATGAAGGCCAGAGCTTCAGCCTGCGAGGTTACAGTCACGCAGTGATGTGCCAAGACACACAACAGGTCCTGACAGGTGAGTACAGGGATGGGTACGGAGCACCGGAGGCTCGATAAGCTCTGACGTTAACGGTTCTGTTAACGGTACTTTGGAAATTAAGGACAACGCTGTTTTACACATCGGATGTATACGTGTCAGTGATGCACTTCAGCTTCCCAAACCCAACACTGTGTTCTATCTGTGGCAGTCTGTAGCTGTGACAGACGGAAGACCCGGTGTCTGGGGGGCGGAGCCTCTCTGTCACTCACCTGCACACAGGTGACCAACGTTCAGTCGTGTGATTAAACTTAACGACAGTCGATGCAGGAAATGTTCACTGCTGACGAAGCGTTCAGTAAAAGTTCATCCCATGCGGACGGAGACACTCGGTCTGACTGCTGAGCTCACAGTCGATCCCTCACGAACCACATACGCTGTGTTAGCTAGCAGCCGCACACAGCTAGCTTAGCTCTACAACCGGGGGCTACTGATCACAGGTAGGCATTCACCGGCTGTCTGTTTAACTCTGGACTCTGATCTCAGAGCATCATCTGAACTGTCGATCAGAACTTTAGCTTCACATCCAGAACACGCAGGGCAGCAGGATTTAGTGGTTTCAGGACTGCAGACGAACTCTGTCTCCCTTTATTGTCACCGTTCCTCTGACTGCATGTTGGTGGTAGAAGAAGTACTTCAGCTGTTTTCTTTACCAAACTACTACAACCCCGCAGTGAAAGTACTGATGAGAACCCTGGCAGAGTACCCGATCGATTCGCAGCTTCAGTAAAAGTAGTCGTAGTGTTGGATCCAGACATATTTAAACCATTCAGACCTGGGTGGTGATAACATCTACTCACCAAGCTGGGCCTGGTTGGAGTCTGACATCTGAATGAGAGCGCTGTCCTTCTTATTGTACAGGATTTTCACCCTCTGGACATCGCCGTACACTCCTGCATTAGAGCCGCCGGCCGGCAGGAGCAGAAGAGGCGAGGTGGAGAGAGAGCAGACGGTTAGAAGGTCTACAGTCAGCACCGGACACAAGGATATTTAAAGACAAAGAGAAGAGAGAAGAGAAGGGCAGAGCACACACAGTAGATCACAGGAGAGTGAGAGGTGTGTAGAGAGAACAGGTACAGAGAGAACCCTCTAAACAGGTAAGTTATCAAGCTGTGTCAGGTGGCTAAATAAAAACGGCATGCAAACGTAACGGTGCTTTAACAGACTACTGTGTAGTGAAGTAATTAACCCAACAATCCAATAAAAAGGGGCCAAAGTATATTACAGATGATCAACAAGCTACTGTGAGCAAACAAACATACGTAAGCTTATCGTAACAATAATAGTCATAATAATAATAGTAATAATAATAATAATAATGACAAATGTGTCAAAGATAGAATGGAAGTAGAACAAAAAGGAGAAGGTAGAAAGAGAGAAAGACAGAGAGATAGAGAGAGAAAGGGAGAGATAGAAAGAGATAGAGAGAGATAGAGAGAGAGAGGAGAGAGAGGAGAGAGAGCTAACGATAACATACCGAAGAGGGTAAACAGACTTTGGGGCGTAACCATCTTTAGAGGGAGAGAAGAGCAACAAGCAGCGTGAGACAGGTAGAGAGGTAGAAGAGTCGGAGCGGAGCGGAGGTAGAGATGGACAGATCGATCCAGAACGGAGGTAGGTAGGAGGAATGGTGGTTTTTGTATTCCCCCCGGAGAGTGATGGAGGTGGTGGGTCATGGAGGAGGGGGACGGGCGGCGCGAGGAGAGGAGGCATGGAGGGGAGGAGGTGGTGGTGAGGGAGGGAGGGAGGTTAACGTGGGAGGAGGAGGTGTGAGGTTAAAAATTTAAACATCCCCCACATGGAGGGGGTGGGGGGCAGGACGAATGGAGGGGTGGGGGAGGAGAGAGAGAGGGGAGGGGGGAGATAGAGGGAAGGAGAGAGAGAGAAAGAGAGAAAGATGGAGGGAGAGAGAGAGGGAGAGGGGAGAGAAAGATGGAGGGAGAGGGGAGAGAAAGATGGAGAGGGGGAGAGAGCGAGAGAGAGCGAGAGAGATGGAAGGAAGGAGAGAGAGGGGGGAGACAGGGAGATGAGGGAGTGAGAGAGAGAGACAGAAATAGAGAGGGGGAGAGAGCGGGAGATGGGGAAGAAGGAGAGAGAGAGAGAGAGAGAGGGAGATGGGGAAGAAGGAGAGAGAGAGGGAGATGGGGAAGAGAGGGAGGGAGAGAGAGAGGGATAGAGAGGGAGATGGGGAAGAAGGAGAGAGAGAGAGATAGAGAGAGGGAGATGGGGAGAGAGGGAGAGAGAGAGAGAGAGATGGGGAGAGAGGGAGAGAGAGATGGGGTGGAGATGAACAGGGAGGCAAATGCAAATTGGGGGAAATAAAAATAAAAATAAAAAGTGAGGAAGGGGAGGGACAAAAAATAAAATATAGGTCAGTACACTGGAATAATGCAGGTAGTTTGGTCAGAGATAATGGATCATGTCTTCTTTAGTCAAAATACAGCAAGTAACTGGCACCAGAGTGTCTTTCACCCTAGACAAGCATGGGGTAAAGGTACATTCATGTCAAAATCATAATAAAACCAGCAATATAAAGTCATAACCATGGGATAAAAACAACATGCAGCAGCAGCAGCAGCAGCTTCAACCTGAAGATCTAACATCTTTCAGCACAGGGAGGATGGTGCTACCACAGTGTGAGAGGCTGAGGGGGGAAGACGCGTTAGGAGAGCATGCACTTCAACGGTGTTAGCACAACAGTCTGGCATGCAAGAGTTGATGTGAAGGCCATCTGAGTCGCACGTGGCCTTCACACAAGTCCAAGAGGCTACGAGAAAAGCTTCAGCAGCACAGTATCTGAACATGGTGGCTTTAGCTGGAACCGTTTAGATACTGTCAGAGGCTCCAGGATGACACACTGAGTCACAGTCAGAAATGAGCAGAGACACAGACATTAGGTGAGACAAATCAGACGCCGTTTCAAGTCACAATTTAAAAACAAAAACAAATTAAAAACAAAGAAAAAAGGGAGAAAAGACAGCGAGCAAGCGTTTCAGAGAGGCAGGTGTTTGTTCCCAGGACTAGACACGGGTTAGGAGACCACAGAATGATTTCATATGAGCTTTCATATGAGCTGAGGAGAGGTGAGAAGAGCTTAGAGAGAAAAACAGAAGAGAGAGACAGTTAGCCGAGTTAGGTACAGTCTGACAAGAGGAGGTAAGGGCAGAACATCAGAGGAGGAGAGAGGGGAGGGTTCTGGTGCTATGACAGGAACAGCAAATCCCCTGGCTCTCTTATAGTGACCCGAAAGGAGAGAAAACAAAAAAACAGAGATAACAGTGAGGCCCTGTGCATGTAAAGGACACTACAGTACAGCTAAGGAAAGAAAAACAGTCTAAAAGGTTTGGACTCCAGAGGTGGAGCATCACCTGTGCCTTGGGACAGTTCAGAGATCAGAACCGGGTCAGATAATACTGATCCCTGAAGGTTAGGAGGTCCGAAATACAGACCAGGAGCTACTGTATGAGATCAAATAAGAACTAAACAAGTAGAATATAGTTAAATTAAACACGACAGAGCATTTTCCTACGACTCTGACGTGAACTATCCCAAGATCACAGCAGCGCCGTCAGCCAACGCACCAGATCAGCTGTGTGGATTTAAACCTATACTGAAAGGCTAACAGAAGACACTGCAGTGGGGATGGTACCACAAAGAGAACAACTGACCAGAACCAGCAACAGAACATAAAAGAACAGATGGATGGAGGTGGTAGGTAGGTAGGTAGGTAGGTAGGTAGGTAGGGGTGGTGTAGTCTAAGCCTGAGGTGGTCCACCGTACTGCTGTTCATACGTGTGCTACTAACCTCCTCGTTCAGGTTGCTGACCAGCAGGACCCCGCTGGATCCTGCCTGTCCAGCAAGGGCCACCCTCCCTGCAGCAGCAGCAGCAGCTGCCGCCGCACTCAGAGGGTTCAGGGCTCCTGACGGGAAGCAGACGAGACAATCATGGCATGGAGAGCGGCACTTCCACCAGCCCACAGCATTACAACAACATTAGCATTCTCTGTTTAGCGCTGAAGTTAGCTGACACACAAACAGCTACACAGAGTTTACAAATCTGTTCAACTGGTCAAAATATTTGATTAAAATCCACTCCAAGGTAAATCTAATCACATGGTTTGATCATTCAGAACCACCTGGCTGCTGTGACTTTAAATTTGTTCACAATTATTGGGCAGGTGAGGATTCTGGCCTCGTCTTTATTTCTATGAACATTCTCCAACTTGACAGCACGTAAACCCAAATGCTAGATTTCATTAATGCATTTGTGTGATGAGGTTCGACGTTACCTAAAGTCATCAGCCCGTCAGGTTAGGTGTGCATTTTTATTAGGTAGCATCCTTACTTTGGGTCAAAAAGGGCAAAAGAAGAGATTTAACTGGCTCAGTCTGATCCACCATTCCTCAAACAGCTAAACTATGGATGCAAGGCCACTGGAGAGTCAAGTGTCAGAAACTAAATGTGAAGCTTCCAGGAAGTCATGATCCTCCTAAAATGTCCAGAAGCATGAGGTGCCATGTAAACATAAAGAAGGCTCAACGCACGCCCACCACACGGGAGGGGCACCAAGTCCAGGTTTAAACGAGCCACGGGGCAAAAGTTCGTCACACACAGACCAAGAAAGGCTCGTCCCTCGCTACCACGGGCTAATGATTACGAGTGTACATTCGCCATCAGCTGGTGGAGCTGTGGCCGTGTTCATAAACTCAGTCTGACAATGGGAGCATCGTTTGATCTGTTGCTCAGAATTTCATTTTCACTTTCAGAGCGCACAGACCAGCGGGGAGACAGTCTTCCTTTACTTCCACCCTTTCTTCAACTGAATGTTGGTGCTGCAGCCGTAGAAGTACTTCAACAGCTTTCTGCACTAAAACTATTAATATCCCATATAACAATACTATCTGTTCAAGGTGCTGCTTTTAATTCTGCCATAAGGCAGTTTGGTGAAACACACTGCAGAATATAGTGTTCTGTGAGGACAACATGTGCTCTGATCATCACCAAAACATTAGAGCCTTTAAGGGATTTGCTGTAAATAATGACTGTATTTACTCTGCTAGCTTAACCTCTGACTTCTATCTCATGTCTATCAACAGTGAGAGGCTCCATCTGATGACAAAACCAGGTACAATAACTTAAGTACAACACATTTTCTGTCATGCATATCCTCAGTCTTAGTAATCCTGAAATGTCCTGAGCCTAAGTGCGCATGCTGGTATGTTCCCCTGAGAAAGACAGAACATCGCTCAGTCAAACACTCAGGTTTGAAGTTCTATAATATTTTGAACTGAAGGCTTAGCACCAGCAGAAACTCCAGAGGAAGGATTCAAGGCCTTAATGGGTCACAAACGTACTATGCACCTGTTCACCTGCCAAATAATTGTGCGTGGAGTCAACAGCTGGGCAACAACAACAACAACAACAACATCAGGATTAAAGAAGGAATAATAAAAGCGTGATCTACCTGGGATCTTACCGAGGAGCGAGCTGGAGTCTTTGCTGAAGGCAGCAGCCACCGTGGGGTCCAGGCTGGGCTGGCCGTCACCAGCCGGCAGCTCGGGTCGGGTGTAGTCGCGACTCTTGTCGTTGTTGTACTTGACGTTTAGGTTGACCAGCTTGGAGAAGTCGATACGCAGTGTGCAACATGAATTGTAGATGTTCTGCCCGTCCAGCGCCTAACAGAGATGGGGGGAAGAACATCATGCTCACACTTGGAAAGCACAAACAATTAGAGATGAGCAATAACAGCACGGCCAGCAGCAGCCTCGTACCAGTTTGGCCTGCTGTGCGTTGACAGGGTCACTGAACTGCAGCAGAGCTTGGAACTGATTGTTCTTGGTGAACGTGATTATCTTCATGACTGTGCCGAACTTGGAGAAAATCTGCAAACACAACAACCGAAATTCAAACTTCAAAAGTTCCCTGAGGAGCGCTGAATATTCCCACGGTACCGGCCACCCACCTGCTGCAGCACATCCAGCGTGACGGGGTAGAACATGTTGTCGATGATGATCCGCAGCACGGGACTGGAGGCGGCGGCAAGAACCTCCTGCACGTCCGAGCTGGGCGACTGGACTGCCGACACCGCCTGCAGCACCGCCTGGGTCCGCTACGGCCCAACACAAGGTGTCAACCGCTACTCTCAGTAACCCAGCAAACCAGACCAGAAAATGACCTCTTTTACACACCGTTAATGCAAAGACAGCATGACCTGCGTTGGCATTCACGCCTAAAAAACAGGTCGTCTAGACTTAAATCACGTTCATATTCCCAAGTGTTCAGTCAGCCAGTATTGATTCCCAACCTCGTACTAACGAGGCAGCTGTGTAGTGTTCAGTTAAGACAGAAACCATGCATTTCCCCCACAGAGCGCTCCGTCAGCCAGCTTTACTAACCTGATTGCCGGCATCAGTTTTGAGCTCTTTGTGATTTGAGTACTGAATGAAGACGGGGACATTGCGGATGTGAGGTGTGACTGTTGTGTAGTAGTTAACCATAGTGATGGCCGCCTCCTCCGTCCCCATCTCTAGGAACGCCTGGAAGCAGAGGAAACAAAAACCTCATGAATTCACCACTTAGGAAGCGATTACATGTCGTCCTTTCATTGAAACGTCTTGATCTGGGAGGTAGAAACGGTCCTCCACAGATCTTTACAGATCTGAACACATAAACTCTCCTCCTGCTCCACCACACCAGAGTGGACCGAGGTGGCAGCATTATCGGACCGACACAGATCAAGCTGTTCCAACATGACGGCGAGCCAGATGCCGTTCAATCCAGACTAGTCGGGCACCGGTGCAGTGAGGAGCAGCTGTAGTTGACAAGAATCAAAGCGACCAAAGCCAAGCACAGCCCTCCTCAGCAGACTGACGGCCAGCTTTTGTACAGAGCTGTGCACGTTTCAGATGCGCTCGTCGATTACGAGGCAGAATGTGTCCAAAGGACCGGTGTGGTACAGAACCATGTCAGCGAACAACTGGTTCCTGACAGTTCAAGACACAAAAATCTGACTCTCGTCCTCGGGGTAGAGACCACTGCTGTCCAGGTATAAAGGTATCTGTGTTGTCAAACCGAGGCTAAGTAATTGCTTTGGTACACAACTCATCTGTGCGTTTCATCCACTCACCTGGTTCTTCCCCTTCAGCGTGAGGATGTTGGTGACTTTGCCGAAAGGCAGGCCGAGGGCGATGACTTCGGCCTCCGAAGCCTCGTTGGGCAGCTTTCTAATGTGGATCACGCGGGACGGCGGGGCCTCCTCCACCCTGAGCTTCTTACTATCGCTGCCATTGGAAGCCCCGTCTAAAATTTTTAGCATAAGCACCAATTAACTGAAGTGTGCAAGACAACGACAGCTGATCAGCCTAAAGGTTCACGCTATGATGTGACTGTGAAACTGCCTACCAATCCCCAGAGTTAAAGGGTTTTCAGTTTTCTGACTTTAACAGATAGGGGCAGAGTGTTTCAGTATTTTCTGACTTTATTCTCTCCGTGGTGCTGGCTCCCACTAAAGTCATCATTCATTTAGACTCAGGTGGACATCACATGTGCGCCTCCTATACACCGTTGACATGCCTGGATGAGCCACCGTCAGTGATTATAGCAGAAGCGTAACAGTACAGCACTCGTTCACTAAACTGCCTGCATACATGCTCAGCGTAGCCTCGGGGTAAGACGTCTGATCGCTAAGAGAAAACCTCGTGTGAAATCTCTGAATCTGTTGAAGCACTGGCATGTTTGGATAGTTGACAATCCTACAAAATAATAAACCCTAATACCAGCGGTTCAGGGAGAGTGAGGAAGCTTAATGCAAAACTTGGACTGAGAGTACCCAATAGACAGCTCAGTTTAAACAGCTGGAACATCATGCAGCCCACCTGGACCAGCACATTGCAAACTGCTGAAATAAACACCTCCCAAGTTTATGAGTTATGGAGTAGTGAGAGCGCCGAACTACAAAGATAAACCCAATAAAAGAATATTAAAATAAAAGCAGAACTAAAAAGAACAAATAAAATAAAAAATAATGTGGCAAGATAAAGCGAAATTAATCCAAAATTAATCTATTAAAGAAAAGGCTAATAAAAGTAGAAATATGAAGACAAAAAAAATATATATATTTTTTTTAAATTAATTTTTATTTTATTTTTAATATTTTTGTTTTTTTATATTTCACGAGCTTGATGACAGATTTACACTGTGCTATGAATGCAATAAAAATATATATTTTTATTTTAAATGTTTATTTTTCTATACTTAACGATCTTGATGATGACAGATTTACGCTGTGCTATGAATGTGATAAAAATCATGTTTCTGTAGCGTGACATCTGATCTGCTAGGGTTTAATGTCCGAGGTCATCTTGTTAGAATGCCTTTTTTAAATATGCTGCCTGGACATATTTTCATTTTCATCCACTGTTCATCTCTGCGAGGCTGGTTGTTTAGGTAGCTACCGAACATAAACGCCACCTCACTTTACTGGACCGGTCCCTGGAGCGACGTTAGCTTTGTGTATTTTAATCAAAGAGATCATCTCTCAAACTCTCGTGTTTAACTTTGTTCGTATTATGAGCGGTGACGGCTCTTTCAGTCATCCTCAACGCCAGCTGCAGTTTTCTTTAAGATGCTCCTGACATCATGTGAACAGCGAGGAGGAGGAGGCGGCGGCATTAGAATGCAGCGGTATCCAGTCACATGTTGCGGTGTGTGGGTGCCCACCTACTGAGGACTGCGATGTTATTCAGACACTAAACAGCTCCCGTGAGAGAACAGATCAACGCATGCAGCCTGCTTCACTTTTCAGACACCTATGAATGCTTTGGTTTCTGCCACTACCCATCAAACAGCTTCACGGACACTCCACCACTGCCCTTCCTGTCGGAGGCGGTCGGAACACACTCACCACTGATACTACTCATGCCAGAGGTGGGACTGTTGTACATACTCAACTCTTCTGATCCTCTCTGTGGAAATAAAAGACAAAGATACACAGTCAGGCACATTTGTGGAGAAGAGAGTCAGGGAAACTATTTCCATTTTCCAGACAGGCCCTCAAAGACAGCGATAAAACCGAGCTCTCTGAAGACAGTTTAGAGGAACAAAGGGAGGCTGGAGGAGGAGGTGGAAATGGGCATAAAACAGCAGCAGAGTGGTCTGGCTGCTTCTCTGCCGGTGTGGGTTTAATCTTGCTGAATTTAAGATGTCAAGATGTGTCATTTCATTCTGAGCTATACCAGGTCCCAGAAGGCTTGCTGGAGCTGCCGGGCGCCCTGTGGTCTTAAACCTGACTGATGGGATGACGAGGAACGTGGCTAGGGACCCATTACACACACAACTTTATAATAGCTTCATACACCCCCTCCTTGTTTCTGTCTGACTGAATTTGAACCAATTGTTCTTCTGTCACTAGCATTCTTTATGGTTACGATAAACTAGATGTTGCAGGCCCTGCTACGGCAACATGACACAAATAAATTGAAAGGGTAATAAAGTTGTCTGACTCGGGCCAAAGTGTGAGCGCGCACAGCACAAGACACAAGAATCCCAGAAATGATTTCTCCACCAACAGCTGGCAGCCCTCTCTATTCTGTCTTTGACACTGAAATACTGATGAAATAAACAGGGCGGCAAAGACCCACAATATCAGAGGAATCAGTGTTTTATGACTGTTCCGTTTCCCTTCCACAGAGGACTTTAACTTTGTTTTGTGCAGACTGAAGTGCAGCTGGCGCTCCAATCAGGTTAGGCAGCCCGAGCAACAGGGCGCTTAAGAAAAGCAAAGACACGAGTACTGACCCTGTCATTAAAGCTATGCTAATGCGCTACAGGCCAATCAGGATGTATGAGAGAGAATTAAACTTTAACTTAAATGTTTCATGAATGGTTTATTCTTTAAGGCATATCGCTTTGTTGTCACTTCATGGTTGTCTTGGTCATTAGGGAATGTGTAAAACACATCAGAGACCTGTGGTTAAGCTTCTGATTTCTGTCTGCACAGCAAATTAACAACATTCACTAAAGTGATATTAACTCAGATGAAGGAAAGGAGGCCTTCCTGTCTGATGGCAGTTTAACGTGTTACATTTAAAGCTAACAACAACAAAAAACACCCTCCTGGAGTCTCACGTGGCTGGACCTGGTAAAATCATTGTTTTACTTTTAACATGGAACAAGTATGAAAAAAACTGAGAGAGGCACAGACACGATTTCAGCACACTGACGAAAGCTGCTTTTAGGTGTGTCGTCCAATCACAGCAGCCTAAGAAGTGGCACTTCAGCTAAAAACTAATCCATCGTTCAGAAGCAGCAGGTTTAGCGGCAAAGAACAATTAGAGAAACAGACATTAGACACCCAGACCAGAGCCCCCTTCACACTAAGGACAGCATCAGGACCAAAACAGGGTCATACATTAAACACAAATCCCAGTCTCGTCTCAACATGCGTGTTAGATGCCAGATATCAGATGTGAGCTGTGGCTCTTTCTGAAACACAGCATAATAAATATAAGAACAACTGATGAAGGTAAAAGCCATCCACCCATGTCTTAACAACACAATGCTGACTTCAGGGGCTTGATGAAGCCAGTGGTGTCTAGTCCATGTTGAAATGGGCCCATAGAGGTTACACAAAGAACATTCATCATTATTTAGCGAGCAAGTTAGAAAGAACGCAGAAAATACAGCAGTCCAGCAGCTGATGTTTTCTTGATCTTGCATTCTCGTAAGTTGATTATCTTGGATTACCTGTTCATCAAACTAGACGAGTCCTCTGAAGACATCACACTGAGCTCCAGGAATTTGTAATAGACTCTTTTTTTAACAGTACTTTCTGGCCTCAAACAGGGTACACGATAAACTGAATCAATAAAGAAAACTATTTCTATTTACTTCTATTAATACTGGCCCTTTGAATAAACTACCTACTTAAATACGTTTGAGGATCGAGCCTAATTATTAAGAAAGAAAACGTCAGTTTTTCAGAAATAATTCAAAGAAATAAAGTCCATTCAAAACCTGGAGACGCTGCAGTATGAGCTCGTCTCATCTCGGTTTGTTCAGGGAAGTATTCAGGTGGTAACGATGTGCATGCTGATGTGATTGTAATGAACAAAAACCAATAGAGGAAACTCACCTTCACTCCGACTGCTACATCACTTATCCTGAAAGACAAGTCGTTTTCATGTGGTCAATACAACAGCATTTAAAATTCATCACTACTCCAACATTTCTAAACCTCCTTACACAACAACAAGCTTCTATCTTATAAAAGCAAACAACACACGATGCACTGGGATAGGTGGTGGTGTGACGGGGAGCATGCTTCCTTAAAAGTAGACAGTAACATCGCTCCGAATAAATCACACATTTATGTCCACTTGCCAGCTCTGTGACATTTCCAGCTTCACAGAGAACCGAAGCTGTTTGGCTGCATCAGGTGAGCTGACTGAACACCTGCCGCTACATGCAGGTTGCTGTGTTGTGATGTAAATAAGGAGGCCTGCACCACCTCCACCCTCACCACAGCGTCACAGTTTGGCTTCATGCTGCTGCATCTATCTGCTCCCCATTTATGATTCATCACATCTGTGAGCCATGTTGAGGTCTTTCTGCATTTAACCCCAGCGGAGGACTTGTTCTATGGCAGGGGTGTCCAATCCTGGTCCTCGAGGGCCACAGACCTGCATGTTTTAGATGTTTCCAACACACCTGATTCAAATGATCAGCTCATCATCAAGCTCTGCAGAAGCCTGATAATAATCCTGATCATCTGAATCAGGTGTGTTGGAAGAAGGAAACATCTACAACATGCAGGATTGTGGCCGTCGAGGACCAGGACTGGACACCCCTGGTCTATGGCTCTTATCCATGTTGGTGTCTCCTGACTAGACCCTTGCTTGTGTTGTATCTGCTCTCTGCTGAATGAACTGTGGGACCAAGCTGGAGCCTGTGAATGGCACACCCTGTTCATTGTTATATTATTTATACACATCTCAGCACATCACCACAAGCTCGAGCAGTCACCATTCAACGGACTGTATGCTTTTGTGTGTTTATCCACGCAGTGTTGGCACATATTGGTTCACAATCACGTTTCCAGGAAGATGTAGCTTCCAGGGGATACACTGGACCAGCTAATGCTAGTTAGCTGCTACACAAAGGATCAATGGTCCTGTATGTCAGCTAGCATTTGCTAAACTTCGCTAGCCGCTCAGATGCCGCCCTGCTGTAAAATGCGATTGTGTAGATAATGGAGGTGTGTGTGCTCTTCTCCCCAGGACCTCTCCGCGTAGTTCAGTCCATCTACAACAAGTTCTAACGCACTTAATGCGATAAGGAGAGCGTGAGCTAACTTACGCTAGCATGCTAACGTGAGGCACTTCCTCAACGGAACAGCGAGCGCGTGGCTATGGAAACCCGCTAACAGCCGACATCGACTCCTCCGCGGAACGACGCATCTACAAACACCGCGTCCCGGCCTGCCTCGACATACGTGAGACTTAGCAGATGGAATCGCTGATAAAATATTACCCGTCCATGTCTGTAGCGATTTCTCAGCACCTCCGCTGTCGCTCCTGTTTTCTCTCCAGTTTAGACGAACGCCGCACACGCACACATACACACGGAAAGCAAAATGGAGGCAGTGTGAAGTTGGCAAGACGACCCGACGGCGGAAATTGCCGAAAAGCTCCGAAGCCGGTCGGCATGCGCGCCTCGTTAAAACGACAACAACACATTTAGAATAGAACAGGATGCTTTCATTGTCATCATACACAAAGCACAGCGAAATTAAAAGACAACTCCAGTGGTACAAAGTACAGGTGTAAAAAAGACAAATAAGAACATATAAATATATTTACAGAAGGAGCCAGTAGGAAGCATATACAGTCAGGAATGAGCACGGTAACAGCCACACGGTAGAATAAATATACTGCACTGTTGCGATAAAAACACTGTGAATACATGAGAAATATAAATTATATATAATATATATGTTGAATCTATAGGAATACAGCCAGGGAATAGTAATTAATGTGCTTATGCATGGGCACATCTACTAACAAAGGTGTAGTGCATTTTCTTAAATTTGATTTATTCCTTTGCATTTTATTTAGGAAACAAATAGTGTGACCTGTGTATGCCCCAAGTGGGAGTTCAGGTTTTATCATTTCTGGGGTGGGATTTGTTGAGGTGGTGTTGTTGGGTTTGCTAGACTGGGGTCCTCTTAGCCGCCACATAAGCAAGGACAGTAGACATATCAAACACCAGAAACATGCTGCAAACTGCAGACATTGCTTTGGTCACAGTTCGTATTTGGTTACTCCAAACAGTAAAGTTTCACAAAGATGCACCTCTGCTATCAGCACACACACACAGTCATGTGTGCATGTTCTGGCTGGTATTAACCCAAACCCTGTATAATGGTGGAATATGTCTGCTGTAGTTTTTTTTGAAGAGCAGTTTCCAAACCCAGGGTGTGTCCTGACACTTTAATAGGCTACTAATGGTACGCTAGAAAAAGATCTAATGTGGCAAATACACAGTACACCAAATACAGTGGGCCAGAAATACGAATTGTCGAGTTTAATGCAAGCCGGCATGCTTTTATGGCCATTCTGACCCACAATCCTGTCTAAGTTTGGTCACATATGTCACGGTGAGTCGCCAAGAGCGCACAGACGGATGACTGTTACAGAGTCTGTTACAGATATGAGCAAGATGTTCAAAGTTAAAGCGCAGTATTAGTAGTGTGTCCCAATTGTTTGCATGCTACATTATGTACTGTACAGGAAGTTGCAGCATGTCCTGAAAGGAAAACACAGCTTCGGTGTCTTGGCTTTGCCTGCCTTCTTCTACTGGCTAATCCAAACATGATGGAACAGGTGAGTGGAGCTGAGGCAGGACACACAGAAGATGAGCACATCGGTAGGACTGTTGTCATGATGTTAAGGATTCCCCACAGCATGAAACCATTTATACCATGATTATCAATTCACATGATGTCTCCTGAACACTCAGATCTTCCTGAAAATGCCTGATTGACATTATGAAAACATGTCATGGGAGCCATACACAGTGTCACCCAGGGACTGTTCTTCTGGTGCTTTTTGTGAGCTGGCCGGTTAAGGACTTCTTCTGCATGCAAAGGGGAAGGAGGGAAAAAGAAAAAAAACAGGGCAGTTTTTGCATAATGATTAATCTTGACAGACATACGTCATGCTCCCGGGCTCCTGACAACGTCACGCCCTGGGTGAAATTAACGCCTAACTGCTTATCTTAAAGGACCTGGGATTTAATTAAAAATGACATTTCCCCAAAGACTCGTGCTTCTGAAGCTGCCATGTTGAAATTAGTTGATGAGGGGCCCTCTGAGGAAAAGGGAAATAAGCAAACTGTCAAATGCTGAGCAAATCACTGCCGTTTATCAGTCCTGCTCACTGCTCAGGAAATAACAGTGGACTTACATCCTGCACGGTGCCCGCTGCACCGTGGATACAAGTCACATTGTTATTAACAGCAGGGTGGGGGGACCAGAAAACAAGCCTGTCAAATGTGATATGAAGACAAACAATGTGTTTGGGCTAAGTAGGGGAATAGGTTGGTGAAATGAGCTCTTAAGGCACCACGGAAATATTTTGCCACTGACAAAGCAGTCCTTCATGACTTTCAGTATTTTGCAACAAGTGGTGGGTCGCAGCAGAACTAAATGTGGGTCCGGGCCTCACTGAAGACATCTAAGTATCTCTCTGACAGTAAACAGACCTCATATTAAAGTGAAGGAGAACAGCAGCATGTGTTGGCATCGTTTACTAAATAAAGATAATAAACAAGCTGTGCCACTTATACATTAGATTTAACTTTATCTATAAAAATATCGTCATGATGTGTCTGTTGCTAGGCAACAAAGGAACTTTTAGGAAAAGTGGTGTTGGTTGAATAAATCCTTCCTGACAAGTGTGTCTCCTGCTTTAAGCCGCTGGACTTTTTCATCAACAACACAAACGTTGTGAGTTCCTTGACTGTAAAACCCTCACAGCAGCGTTGTGGTGGAACATTTTGCACATATGCAGCGTGTTCAGTATGACTGCTGGGCTCCAACAGTTCTCAGTACGTTCAGTAACTCATTATGTTTCTCTTAATGTATTTGCTGTTGTGTGTGAGCAATCCAAGGTCAGGTTGTCACTGCAGAAACTGAAATAAATCCACCTCTTGCTACGCTGGAACTCGGCTTTTGCAAGCAATGCACGTGCGCTCTAACGAATTCTTCCAGAAGACCATAAAAATGTTTCGATAGTCCACTGTGGTCAGACAGTATATATATGTTTCCTGGCAACTCTTTACAGGTAAACATCAACAGAAAGGAAACAAACAGTTCAAATATATTTACTTCTTCATAAAAGTAGGATCAAAACGCTGCTGCTCCGAAGACAAATACTGGTCTGAATCCACGGCGGCCGTCTAAAAATAGAACGTCATTTGAAATCTATGTTCTGTTTACAGACTCTGTGTGTGTGTGTGTGTGTGTGTGTGTGTGTGTGTGTGTGGTAAAGACACACACACACACACACACACACACACAGAGCTTTCATCTCTTGCTGACAGAGGTGCCACAGCGAAGGCATCATCAGGAGGAGGACCGTGACAGGCTCAGTCACAGGTGATGTCATCACCGTGCGACCCGCGAGGACGAGGGCACTATGATCCAGTCGGGCTGTCGGCGCCGGTGCAACGTGTTGCTGGAGGTGTGAGGTGTGTGTGTGTCGATGGGTGTCGCCTCCAATATCTCCCTCACCTTTAATCAGCCACATTAGTTTTGAGTGTGAGTTGATGTGCACGCATGCACACACACACGCACACACACACACACACACACCTACACACACACACACACACACACACACACAGAGCAGGCTGCTGTGGAGCCATCGTTGCCGAGGCGCTAGCTGGTGCTGAGGTTGGTCATTTAACCTGCACATTTGAAACTGAAACGTTTAAACAGAACAGTAATGTCATCAAATGTCATTTGTGTCGCGGCAACTGGCAGCAAGATAAAATGTCATCTTGTCTGAGAACGAGTATTTCTGCAGGGTCAGAGAACCCATTTATTAAAATCACGGCGCCGGCGCCCCTCTGTGCTAAAGAGACAGTATTCCCTGTCATGTTCCACAGTGACCCTCCAGCTTGACATTTTGATTTCTCCCGTTTTGTCCTTTACAGTTCTCTGTGAGTGACGGCACACGCCTGTACCGTGGGCGTGCATGTTTAAGTACACCACACACTCAGAGCCGCCCGTCCTAAACGGCAAAGTGGCAGAAATGTCAGGACGCCAACATGGCCACGAGGAGCATGAGGGATTGGCAGATGTGCCAGGCGTCTTCAGAGGAAGATGTTACCCACAGTAATTAAAACCTCTGTCTCGTGATGTTTGGCCTCATTTCTCATGGCTTCCTGGTGGAGATTCTGAAG